CCTGAGGCCCTGGGTTCGATTCCTCAGCACTACATAAGCAAAAAGAAAAAAGCCGGAAGTGGCGCTGTGGCTCAAGTGGTAGAGCGATAGCCTTGAGCTGAAGAGCTGAGGGACAGCGCCCAGACCCAGAGTTCAGGCCCCACGACTGGACCAAAAAAAGAAAAAACAATTAATAAATGAACAACTAATAAGTAGAAGAGGGTCTGTGAGGGCTTGAAGGTAGCTTAGTGGTAGAGTATTTGCCTAGCATGCATGAAGCCTTGGGTTCGATTCCTCAGTACCACATAAACAGAAAAGGCCAGAAGTGGCATTGTGGCTCAAGTGGTAGAGTGCTTGCCTTAAGCAAAAGAAGCCCAGGGATAGTGCCTAGACATTGAGTACAAGTCCCAGAACTGGCGAAAAAAGAAAGGAAGAGGAGGAAGAGGAGGAGGAGGAGGAGGAACAGGAGGAACAGGAGGAGCAGGAGGGAGGAGGGAGGTGGAAGAGGAAGGCTCCTGTGGCATATATTACCTAGAAGTAGACAGTCCATGGATTCCCTTTTACACACACACACACACACACACACACACACACACACACCCTCATCTATCCAGACCTTCGCCTCAGATGGGAGTTGAATTTGTAACTCCACTACGCAGTCAGGGGGCTGTGACAGTGAGAAAGGGCAAGGTGGCTGAAGATGGCAGATTTCAGAGTCACAAAAATAAGTCAAAAACCACCCTAGCACAAAGGCTAAGGATTGGAGACTGAGCTCTTTTATTGTGATCCATCAGATTCTGGGACTGGGAGGAGAGATTCAATAAATGAATACATACATGCATACATGCATACATACTAGCCTTGAGACAGGGCTACTCTGTGTGTGTGTGTGTGTGTGTGTGTGTGTGTGTGTGTGTGTGTGTGTGTGTGTGTGTGTGTGCGCCAGAGCTTGAACTCAGGGCTTCACACTCTCATTCAATTTTTTCCAGTCATGGCCAGGGCTCTATTGCACCATACCTCAAGTTGTTGTTGTTGTTTTTGCCGGTCCTGGGGCCTGAACACTGGGCCTGGGCACTGTCTCTCAGCTCTTCAGCTCAAGGCTAGCACTCTACCACTTGAGCCACAGCACCAATTCCAGCTTTTTCTACTTATGTGATGTTGAGGAATCGAACCCAGGGCCTCAGGCATGCAAGGCAAGCACTCTACCACTGAGCTACCATCCTAGCCCAAAGTCTAGACTTTTTCTTAACTAACTGGAGATAAGAATCTCAGATGGACTTTTCTGCCTGGACTGGCTTCAAATTGTGATCCTCAGATTTTAGACACTTGAGTAGCAAGGATTACATGTTTGAGCCACGAGCACCTGGCTGGTAACTGTTTCTTAATGTTTTTTCTTTTTGGGGGGGGGGTTCAGTCGTGGGGCCTGAACTCTGGGCCTTAGCGCTGTCCCTCAGCTCTTCAGCTCAAGGCTAGCGCTCTACCACTTGAGCCACAGCGCCACTTCTGGCTTTTTTTTTTGCTTATGTAATGCTGGAGAATCAAACCCAGGGCCTCATGCATGCAAGGCAAGCATTCTACCACTGAGCCACCTTCCCAGCCGCTCTTAATGTTTTTTCTTACCACAGGACTTTTGCATATGTCTTCTGCCTGGAACATTTTTTTTTTCTTTTTGTAATACTAAGGTTAAAACTCAGGGCCTCATGTTTACTAGACAAGCACTTAAGCCACACCCCCAGCCCTCTGCTTGGTGCATTATCTCTCATTTTCATTTAGCTAATTTTTATTCATCCTTCAGGTCTCTATATCATTGTCAATTCTCTAAGAAGCTGAGTCTGACCTCTCTGACAGGATGAAAGCCTATAGGACATATTATTTTTTTCTTTCTGTCGGTCATGGGGCCTGAACTCTGGGGCTTGGGCACTGTCCCTCAGCACTTCAGCTCAAGGCTAGCACTCTACCACTTGAGCCACAGCATCAATTCCGGCTTTTTCTGCTTATGTGGTGCTGAGGAATCCAACTCAGGGTCTCATGCATGCAAGACAAGCGCTCTACCACTGAGCCACCTTCCCAGCTCCAGGACATACTATTATGGCACACAGACCTGTCACAGCTGTTGTTTTAACCTTTTTTTTTTCAAGGTTGTAGATCAAACTTAAGTCTCCTCACATGCCAGGCAAGTTCTCTACCACTGACCCACATCCCAACCTAATTCTATATCATTTGTGAGATTTTTAGATGAATACTAGCACTAACATCTCAGAATGCTCAATAACAAGTACAGTACTCAACGAATATTCTGGATCCACTGGTGACAGCCACCTGTAAGCCTACCTACTCAGGAAGCTGAGATCTGAGGATTGCAGCTTGAAGCCAAACAGAAAAGTCTAAGAGACCTAAACTTCAATTAACCAGCAAAAAACAGACTAGAGGTGTGACTCAAGTGGTAGAGCACCAACCATGAGCAAAAAAGCAGAATGAGCATACAAGGCTTTGAGTCCAAGTCCCAGTACTGGCATGAAAAGAAATAAGTTGTAGATCAAATAAAGAAATAGATATGCAGGCAAAGGGAGCTTGGGTGGTGGGGAGCACAATAGAGATGGAACAAAAAGGACTCAGAGCATGCTATACACTTCCAGGCCAAGCCATCACTGAGGCAACTGGAAGCAGCCATAGATCACTCCCAGAAACATGAGTAGTAACCAAATGGTAGCCTCAAGATTAGCAGAGAATGAACTGAAAGGTAGCAAGAAGAGATATCTCCTACCCAATAATTTCTAAAAATAAAGTCCACAATAATGAGACAGAGTAAGGACAAGAGTCTGAGAAAATGAGTGGCAGGCAGTGGGGACAGTCCTGGATGTTTGCCTAGCAAGACTGCTGAAATTCGTGGCTCAGTTCTGTGTACCAGTTGGGGCATGGTGTGTGGTGAGTCAGACTGAAAGTGCCAGGGACAGAAGGGGCAGCAAGGACCATGCAGGTGTACAACTCAAGATGCTTTCAGCCGATAAGCGAGGGAACCTGGCCAGAGAGCTGGGCCAGATTTCCCTTCTCTGCACCTGTCACTCCTGAATACCCAGCGTGATCAGCTGTCCCGGGCGATTCGGCACTTTACCACCATCTTGTCTCAGACTGGCCCATCGAGGCCTTGCCTTGCACTTAGAAGACCACACTCAGTGCCTGGCCCTGTCCTGCCCTACCTCTCACACCAAAACGCTTCTTGAACTGGTTGACTTCTCCCTCCACCCACTGCTATCAGCTTAGTTGAGACACGTGATCAATGTGGTAGGCTGGATCAACTTAGGATGCTCCCACCCATGTCCCAAACACACACACACACACACACACACACACACACACACACACACACACATCAAAGTGGCTCATGTCTGTAATCCTGAGGAAGGTGAGATCTGATCATTGTGGTTCAAAGCCAGCCAGACAGCAAGTCTCTTATCTCCAGTTAACCACGAAAAAGCCAAAAGTGGAGATGTGGCTCAAGTGGTAGAATACCAACCCTAAGCGGAAAAGCTAAGGAACAAAGCCCAGGACCTGAGTACAAGCCCTAGTACTTGCACCAAAAAAGAAAAGAAAGGAAAAAAAGAAAAACCAGAAAGGTGCTTTTGCTACCATGCCATGCTTGAAAACAGGAGAGACATCTTCAGGTACCAGAAGCAAAAAGGAAATTCAAACACTAAGTATTGAAAGAGCATCTAAACCAACTGAGCCACAGGAGTACTAGGCCAGATATATACTAAGAAGCTAGATGGGAATGCCCATGGAAAGTGCAAGAAGAGCCACCCAACCTGTGCTTAATGGGGAGCTGGAAGGAGACCCCCAGAATGAAGCCAGTAGCCAAGAAGTCTGTTTCATTTACAAACTTAGGCCAGAAAAGCCCCATGCCAATGATTCAGAGATGTAGTCTAGAGGGTGGATACTGGGAAATCTAAACCTAAAGGCTGCTGTGTGAGGGGGTGGGGGGCTGGGTTTGAACACATACTACCTGGAAACACAGAGACCTCAAGCTGTGATGTTAACTTGAACACAGGTCCCAAGTTCAAGCAGCAGCTCAGCCTCAAGGGAGCCCAAGAGGAAGGAGTAGGCAGAAACAAACAATGAACAATGAATTGCTCAAACATGTTTGTAAATCTACCCTATTAAACCATAAAAGACATAATAACAGCTGAGTTAGGAGAGCTCTTTAAAGAGGTATAATCAAAATGCTAGATAAATATAACATGGAGGATGGGAGGAGGGAGTTGAAGGCTCTTGTTTTATAAGTAATAGGGACAAAAAATATACGTTACTAGAAATATATATATATATATATATAATGAAGTCTATCTATCAAATATGTAAGGAAAACCATTACTGAAAAAGGTAAATTTCCAAAGCAGTGGAAGGAAAGTGAGAAACTTGATCAGAAGCTGGGTACCAGTGGCTCATACCTATAATCCTAGCTACTCAGGAGGCTGAGATCTGAGAATTGCAGTTCAAAGCAAGATTGGGCAGGGAAGTCTGTGTGATTTTAATTAACCAGCAAAAAGCCAGAAGTGGAGCTGTGACTCAAGTAGTAGGATGCCAGGCTTGAGTGAAAAAGCCAAGTGAGAGTGTGAGGCCTTGA